CTTACCTGCGCAAATATTACAGGTGAGCGGGCGGGGCGGCGGTGGGTGGCGACTTGTTATTACTGTCAGCCATTTTATGGGCGGCGAAAGCTCGCTTGAAGGTTCCATTAGCCAAGCGCCTAGAGACGAGCATTTGGCAGCCGAATATTGCGCCCTAAGTGGCTGCCATTAAATTCAATGCCGTGATCCACATCTTTTGTGCCAAACAAGTTTATTCACTTAACCGCAACGGGAAAAAGTTGCATAAACGAGCAAGTTTAAGAGTCCCTCAAAAGGAAGAGCTCTCAAAAAATATCAGCAATTGAAACAGAATGATTACAGGGAAGAGGTAGAGCGAATAGACAGACAGAGAATAATTCTCTTCCTTTATGGGCCATAGAAAAGGCAATAGTTGCGAGTGGTCAAGAATGGGACAATGGAGAGAGGGAGAGAGAAGGAGAGAGAGAGAGAGAGGGAGAGTGAGAGAGAGAGGGAGAGTGAGACAGAGAGAAAGAGGCAAGTAGAAAGCTTCGCAGTATATCTATATTTGTTTATTAAATATAAACAAATTATAATGGACTATGTGTATGATGCAGAATTATATATAATATATGTGACCATAAACATATAATATAGTTAATATATATATTTTATATGAAATGAAATTAATTAATTCCTAAATATCAACAAATTATGACGGTCTGTATGCAGGATATATGAAAAATATATATAAAATAGTTAAATATATATTTTAGTTTAAATCAAATTATCAAAAAATTGTTATGGTTTGTATGTGTGAATCAGGTATGTAAGTATACGATATATATTTACATATATAAAAAATTAGCAGATCAAGAAATGTCTATTAGTTAATCTACATCTTTTTGTCTGTCTGTCTGCAGCAAAGTACATCAATATTTACACACATACATACATATATTTAAGAGAAAAACTAAGCTCGAGCACTTGAAACAGTAGAAAGTGCTCTCAGTTGCTTACTCCTCTCAGATCGTGTGTCAAATCGAACTCAGGCCAAGGTCACAGAGCTCAGCTCGAGAGCTGAGTTCGAGTTCGATGAGAGCAGCATGGGCCCTACATAAAGGCAGGTCTGCTGCAGCTCAAGTTCAGTGGTGTTTCGAATTTGTTGGTGATCAGTTCTACAGTGCAGGGCTCCTCTTCTTCTTCTTTGTCTGGTAAATATATTTTGTTATATTATTAGCACTACTATACTAATACTAAGTACATATACTATACTACTATATATAGAAATACTAATAATAATAATTTTATTTCTTAATAGTTTTAAGACATTGGTTCATCACAATTAAAATTAGATTTTTACAAAGTTAGTGACTTGTTGTACTTAGCATTAATATATAACTCTTTATATGTTGCACAAGTATGTAAAAACCTTTTGTTCTATTTCTTGCATTAATAAATAAATTAAATTGGTACATATATTATAATTCGTTTAAAAAAGTTTTGTAAATTGTATCAAATGTTTTATTCTGCACTTTATAATATTTATTAATAATTATATTATTATGAAAATGTAAATGGTATAAATATTATGTGCTCAATAATAAAATTTTGCATTTAACAAAATAAAGCTGGGCACTTTATAATATTTATTAATAATTATATTATTATGAACATGTTTAATGGTATAAATATTATGTGCTCAATAATCAAATTTTAGATTTAACAAAAAAAACTAAACGGCCTAAAATCCCTGATTTTCCATGCAACTTTCAATTTACTCATTTCATTTTTATATACAATTTCTTTACAAACAGATATGCAAATGGTATATGTACATACATATATCCAAATACATATATGTATATACCAATATGCTTACCCAAAAAATTTCATTGCAAGCTGCACTTAAAATTATTTAGTTGACTTGTGAGTTTTGTGACATTTTTATCCATGTGTGACTATATATTTATGTGCATGTATGTATGCATGTGTATATGTGCCCTGTATATGTGCATATTTGTCTGCATGTTAACATGGCTGTATGTCTGTGTGTGTGTGTGTGCATGTTTGTGCTTTTGCACTATCATTATTGAGGAAAACACATCATAAAATATGAACGAACATTTCCGAAGCTCTCAAGAAGTTTTAATTGCTTTTCCGCATGCAACTTATGGGCATATGCAGCACCCACATGAATGTACATCCTTATAAGTAGAATTTGAACAAGCCTTCAGCAGCCGCAGCCCCAGCCGCTCAACGACCTACCCCTCATCCACACGGCATTCGTATTAGTCTGCCCATTCCATTCGGAGGGGCAGAGCCACGTGCCAGGAATGCTGTGCATTGCTCCTCCTGCACATTAACGAACGAGCGAACGAACGAACGAACGAACGAAGACATTCTCTCCCACAACAGCTGCACAACAACTTTGGGACTTTGTGCATAACGTAGCCATAAAGGCGCACACTAGCTCAGCGAGAATGTCATAAAGTTGACAATGCTGAGGGCTGCCAAGGTGCGCCGTATACCTCTGGATATGTAGCATAACAAGCTGACATCAATTATTTATATCTTAATCAAACCCGACCCACATACAGCCCCATGGCCACAGCTTCACAGTCTTGACAACTTGACAACTTTACCAGCAACAAATTGGATGTTAATTACTCGAACTCATGTGCAACTACCTCCCCCCCCCCACTCACCTCCTTCCCCCATGAAACTTGCAAATTATATTGTCTGCCCATTCATACGAAATGGCATATTAAATAAATGCTTCAATCTGCTCGAGTTCAGTTTCCATTTCCATTTCCGTCTCTCTTTCTGTTGCTGTCTCTGTTTTTGTTTCTTTTTCTTTTTCTTTACGTTTTCTGTTTCCGTTTCATTTTGCACTTTTCCACAAATAGTAATAGCATAATTTTTCATTGAAGGACCAAAGCTCTGCGCGAGGACTCGTTAAAGCAGAGCAGCAACTGCCATTGGCTCTGTAACAGCATCATAAAGAATTGAATTCAGTTTTGTTCCTGACATTTATGGAGCTGTGGCTGTTGCTTGTATAGAATTCCATGAACACGTCGTAATCATTTGCGCCAGTTGTCTTATCGTTGAGCTGGCTTGGTTTTACTTTAGCTAAACCACTCACCCACCGCCGGGTCGTCCTGCTGCTCCTCTAGCTCAGCTTGCCCTGGTTTCTGTTACAATTTTAGTTGTTGTTAGTCTCCTTTTTGGCCACATTGTTGACTTGCTATAAAAACACGAAGCAAAAACATAAACCAAAAAAAAAAAAAAAAAAAAAAAAAAAAATACTCAGATGCATTGCACGTGGAAGCATCAAGCGCTGCAATTTCACAAATTGTCTTGAAATGCAAGAATGCATTTCATTCCTTTCGCAAAATCCAGCAACCCCGCCTAGCCACGCCCACTTGCCGCTTACCCGCCCACTTATCAGCACGCACTGCACCACAGGCAGCTGCTGGCCGGAATTATGAGAGTGGGCCGAGCCACGCCTAGCACTCACCCACACTGAATTGTTGCTGATATTCACACAGAAAGAGACACAAATCAAGCAGCTGCGAGGGCGGCTTGAAGAGTTACCAAGACACTTTACTATCACTTATTGGTATGACTTTTTGTTTACTATACTTCATTGTGTGGGTAAAATACTAAATGTAAAAAGAATACAATATGAATAAAATACTAAATGTAAAAAATTCTGAATTTAAATAGCACGGAAAAAATAAATTTGTCAACGAAAATTAAATTAAAACAAAATATATATATTGTATAATAAACAAGTAAGAAAGCTCTAGTCGAGACTGCTCGACTACGAGATCCCCTGAACCCTTGGAGCAATAGATATTTCAATACTTTTTCGCGACTTTCAGCTTACACAAGAAACACGCACACACACACACACACACGTACGTACGCACACACAGGTAAACATACACACACACGCATAAAGACACACATACACACACACACACGCATACAGACACAAACGCATACACACACACACACACATACAAGCAACCACGCATAAACACGCATGGGCTGCAGTGTGCGCTTACTATGAGAACTTAATTGTTTAATAACTTTTTTTATGGACGTACGATCTTCATGAAACTTTTAGATTATGATTATAACATGAATATGCATATAATTGCCAAAGCACAAGTCTCTAGTATTTGAAATACGCTTTTTACAAAAGTGAGGGTGAGGGGGTGAATTTAGAGGTGGGGGGTAAATTTTAACAAAAACCGAAATTGTATAAATTGCATATAAGCATACATTAAAAATTTGGAGACTCTAGCAATAAAGGTGTAGAAGATATAATTTTATAACTGTGTTTCGATAAGGTTTTTTATCGATAAAAAAATATCGAGATGAGTTATCGATTTTTAATGATAAACTTGATATGCGCGCTGTAATTACGGACATTTTAAAAAAAATTTGAAGTCTCTAGCTCTTATATCTTCTGAAATCGACGCGTTCATACATACGGACAGACGGACAGACGGACAGACGGACAGACAGACGGACAGGGCCAAATCAACTCAGCTCGTCACCCTGATCAAGAATATATATACTTTGTGGGGTCTGCCACGCCTCCTTCTCCCTGTTACATACATTTCAACAAAACCATTATACCCTGATTTCCCATTGAAAATGGGTTCAGGGTATAATAATAAAAAAAGTATATATATTACAAATATGCATGTTTAATAATATAGATATATATATTCACGAACTAACAAACAAAATATATCAAAACAAACAAACAAAGAAAATTTTTATAAAAATGTTTAAAATAAAATTAAAAAAATTAAAATGAAAATATACACACATATTTATTTTTAAAACGTAATTTGATTTACTGTTAATATTTTTATAAAAAAAATCAAAATACTAAAAATTTGCAATTAGTCTTTAAAAAATATTTATCTTGTATAATAATTTATAGCAATATAGGTTTATAATTAGAATATAATTGCTTCCGAATTGTATTCATAAACATTTTAAATATTTATATATTACTACATATAAATATAGTCTTAAAAATAAAAGTAAAATAAATTGTAATTGAACTGCATGCAACAACTTTATATTAGATAATTAAATAGCTGTTGTTATAGCTACCCAAAATAGTATCACTCTTGCTTGATCAACCTTTTATTTTGATATACATATTTCCATCAAACTCCCAGTACTCATCGAGCAGCCCTCAAATTAAATGTATATTTTCCTGTATGCACTTATGTGTGTCTGAACAAAATTAGTCACTTTGTGTGTGGGTCAGCAATTACCGTTGAGGCATAAGTATGCCAGGTCTTCTAGAGGCTCTGGCCTAGGGAAGAGCCGTCCGTACTCGAGCGTTAGCCCAGTTTCTCGACTCTGACAGAGTGGCCGTGCTGCTGGTGGCACAATGGCAAGCCATAAGAGTGCTGCTGCGCTCGAGTGTTGTGCAGCACAGGACAAGACAGCACGGCTCCAAGGGCAAGTTAAAGCGCTACGCAGATACAGAGGTACAACAGTACACGAACTGTTGGCGGGCACTGTGCGCACATCTAGTGAAAGCAATTACGCAAAATGCGCTTATATTGGCATCAAATATAATAAAATAATAATAATAGCCACAGCAGCACAACGGCGAGCCACTACAACTGTACATTATTTTGGCCAAAGGACTTGCTTCTATTTCCGCACTTCTTTTTCATAAGGAAACTCTTAATTGCAAACAGCATTCGGGCTGCGAGCATCTGCTGCCAAACCCATAATTTAGAAAGTGACTTAGTTTTACTAGTCTAGAATGCCCGAAGATGGCTCACACTGTACAGTGGGTGCTTTAAGTATACGGACTTTGTATAACTTCGCATAATTAATATTTGCATATTTAACCATTTCGATTACATTACACTCGGAACTGAGGGACCCTCTGCATGACATTCAAGTCTTTGTTGTTCCCTTGGCCCCCCTCACAGCTGCGACAATAACTTGAAGTGTAATTGTGGTGCATTATTTAATATTAAATAGATGAATGACCAAGCGCTTGTTGCTCGGCTTGGACTCTACTCTATATATATATAGTATTCAGGCCTTTATCAAATATGCACATAAGGTAAAGACTTAGCAGGCACTGTAGAGCCATGAAAGCATATATATTATGTAGTTGACTTTTGCCTAAGAGTAGAACATTTCTAGTTAAATTTAAAGCTTTAAACTCATAGACTCAAATGTAGATCTTCACTCAGTCATCACCCAGAGCGCTCTTAGTACTTATATTTATCTTTAACTAAAAGTATTTTTGCATTTTTGCCACGTGGCTGCATTTTGTTTGAAGACATGCCCTTAGGATACAGTTCCCTTGTATGCCATACTAGATTATCTTGGTTCAGCTGCTGTTTAGAGGGAGTTCGCTCAATTCTGGGTAGCTTCTTGCTGCCGTATTTCCAAGCTATAAGCTCCGATAGGGGTTTCAATACCAAGAAGTAAAGCATTTCAGCTATGGAGATAACGCTGAAGCCCATAAAGAGGCCCATGACGCCGCCAATGTTAGCTGCAAGGAAATATTATATGAATGTAAAGAGAGAGCTCTATATATGTACGGCTTACACAAGAACTCCGTGAAGCCAATGTAGACATTTTTTATACTGCCATAGTATGCCGACTCGCGATAGTATAAATGCATGACGGCAATATTATCCAGTAGATAGCTTTTGTTCATGCTGGCCACGACCCTATTGGCCAGCTTGAAGTCCCGCTTGGCCAGTGGGAAATACAGCGAATCAGCCGTATAGGTCAAATCGAAACAGCTAGGCAGACACTCCTTTCGGCACCTGTCCGACCTGTGTTCATTCTCTGGTAGATTCGCCTGGTGAATGCACTCAGTATCCTTGACGCCGCACACACTCGCATTCTTGTAGATGAGCGGGTAGTTGTGGGGAATACAGGTGCAGGCCTGGTACAGGTATTGGGCAATGCACTCCCTCTCACAGTAATTGTGCGTGTAGACCCGGTGGTAGAGCAGCTCCTTCTCGTCATTGAACACACACTGACGATCCTGCCGCGATATGCTGCGAAGCGCTGGCACCGCCTCCGACATGCTGACCGCGAGCCGGAAGTTCGTCTCATAGCCAATGCCCAGCACAAGGCCCTCCTCCTTGACATTGGGCGTTGTAATGGGATTATGGAAGAGGACCTGCAAAATGTGTGAGAACTTTGTGCTACATCCATGTTATCTATGAGAAAGTTTGTCCATGTAAATAAAGCTTAGAGAGCTCATGGAGACCTATATGATAAATAATTTATTTGAATTCATTTTCTATATAATTGAAATGAAATTTGATCTGATATTATTGATATTTAAAACATTTTTATAAGAAATATTAAATGAAATTAATAGTTTTTAAGAGATATTTATGAATAGTATGAAAATTTCAAGAAGTTTGGGTAAGTAGTCAATACATTATAATAATAATAATAATAATTGCCATATATACCAACCTTAAAACCAGGTCCATTCGTCGAAGAGCAGTAATATTCGCTCAGCTGCGCATCCAGAACCAGAGTAAAGCCCATTGTAATGCCCGTGCCTGATAATGAATAAAGGGATTCAAGCAGATACTAACTATAATATAATTCTGATATATATGTTTCAAGCATATACCAGCTCCCGGCAGTGGATAGTGGTGTTTGGGCAGTTTCGCGGGATAGCCCGCTTCGGGATTCCAAGGCACAGGCTGATATCCAAGTGCTTCAATATCGCTCATTGACTCAACTTGGCTAAGATTAAAGGTTAGTGGTAAAATGGGGAATCCGAACTCTCCTCACTTACTGCGATTTGTATATAAAGTGAGCGGGCAGAAAGTTAAAGACACAGCAGAGGCCCTCATCAGTGAGGATAAGACGGAATATTTCGGCGCAGGGCGCTACATGTCCATTGAATCGGCAGTATCGCAGCATCTGGTGGCAGGGCTGGGAATGATTCTTGACAAAGTCGGTGATCTTTAAGGTGTTGCTGCTGTTGACAGTCGTGTCCCAGGCCCTGTTGTCCGCCTCAGTGCTGTGATAGACCCGTTCCGAGCGTGGATTGCAAAGGACCTTCATGACATCGTACTCAGGCGAGCCCCTGTTGCAGTTGCCAATCAGCTAGACCTCAGATATATGTATCTCTCTCTCTATATATAGACTTACTCTCTGTATTGCAAGACTTTGCTGCGCTGAAACTGGTTCATGTTGCAGACGGTGACAGCCGGAAAGGGCACCTTCCGTATGGACGTGGCATGTGGACTGATGCCGATGATGACGGGCGTGCTAACCCACTTGGCATAGATGTTCGAGATCAGCTGGCAGGTCATCGCAAGGGCAGCCACAAAGGCAATCAGGAAAAAGGATCTGCAATTTGTCCTTAGCAATAGTATCCGACTTAAACCAACTACCGATGCTTGCCTCTCCCAGATGTTCAGCTCCGAGTCGCCCACGAATTTCAGTCCATGCAATCCGGTTTCCTTCAGAAACACTTTCAAACTTTTCTTAAAACTATGCTGCAAGAGCGCGCAACTTTTCCGACTTTTCTGCTTGGCCTCCATTGCGACCAGTGTGGACTATATAAAGTCTGTCCACAGTTCTCAGCTACTTATAGCCAGGCACTTGCTGGACATTGAGCGATTAAGCCAGGTAATTACTTAAAGGTATCTCCGTGAATAATAATTAAAGCCTTTTATTGATTGCATCATTTGAGGCAATTGCCCTGATTGGTTTCTGTGGTTTCAGTTACGCTCGCTTAAGCCGCTAATAAAATATTCAATACGCATTTCACTCAAATCACTTATGTATTAATTACTGCATGCACTGGATTTGTGTGGCTCGAAATAGTTAATGGGTATATATAAATAAATATATACATATATATGATACTGATATGTTAATTTTTGTCGGTCATCAATGTAAAATATCTGAGTGTGAATTTTGTCAAAATAATTTTGCTGAGCAATCAAAAAATTTTGCTGATGCTCTTCTATGCGCTTCTCATGAATTAAAAGAGGTATTTATATTGTAGTGCTCGCAAATTAATAATGCCTTTTTTTACATCACTTTTCAATTCTTTTCTAGTTATGACTCTCTCTCTCTCTCTCTGTTTCACTCCCTCTGTCTCTCTTTCTTTGCCTCTCTCTCGTTTCCCCTATTTTTACACCTTTAACTAAATTGATTAAACTTTTTGAGCATTCATTCTTATCAGAAATATTTTACTTCTTGGATATTTGATATTTATAGCTTAGATTAAAGGAAGAGCTGACATGAAGAAAGAGAGAATACTATATATACAATATATTCTCCATCTTATAACATGATTTGGTTTACAGGGTATATAATAGTCTAACATGTGCAGCATACACAAAAATAGATGTTGAAGCGATTCAGAGCTGTGCATATCAACACATATCGAGCTTATTAATATGAGCATATATAGCTATAAATAATTATGCACCTGCATACAGTTCGATAAGATAAAGAATTGTAATCGATATTCCCTCTCTCTCTCCCCCTCTCTCTCTCTCTCTCAAGCAACTTTAACTCTTTCGTTAAACAAACTCGTATCTCTTGGCCTACAAATGACGCAACAAGTATCTAGTCACTCTATAAGGTGTGCAATTGCAGCTACAAATGTATCTGAATTGTTGTGGAAGTCTGATAAGAAAGCTCTGCGCGCAAAGCTAAAAAGCTTCCGCACGTGATCGCCAACCGGTTGCGAGAGGCCGACAGAAGAAGAAGCTTCGCTCTACGCACAGCAGTCGATCAGTTGCTCCATGCGATTTTAGTCGCAATGAGAGTGAGACGGAATCCGCTGCCCCGGCGGCTGGTGGATATATTGTGCTACCTGGTGATTGGAGTATTTCTGCCCATTGTTTTCATATTTGAGATCATCGTAGTGCTGCCCGCAATACACGAGCCCGGCGGATTTTTGCACACATTCACATTCCTCATGGCCATGTTTCTGCTCTTCAATATAAAGGGCAACATGCTGGCTTGCATGATGATCGACACGAGCGTTGATCGTGAGTATTTTAATTGCAAACAATATTGCTAGCTCTCACTATCACTCTCTCTCTCTCTCTCTCTCTCTCTCTCTCTCTCTCTCTGTTTGTAGAGCGGGTCAAAGCGCCACCAGAAGGCGACGCAGCTCGTTTAGACTGGCGGCATTGCACGACCTGCGATCGTTTAGCACCTCCCAGATCGTGGCACTGCAAGGTGTGCGGCGTGTGCATACTGAAGCGCGATCACCACTGTCTCTTTACGGGCTGCTGCATCGGGCACGAGAATCATCGCTACTTTATGCTCTTCACCATGTATTTGTTTATCGGTTCGGTCTATGCTCTCTCCTACAACTCGGTGTTCATGTGGATACTCAATGCAGATGTCTACTGCAACTGGCTAACGGCCCTCAAGGTGGCCTGCCCCATATTCATGCTGGTCATTGGCAGCTTCTGGACCAACCTGCAGCTACTCTTCTATAGCCTGAACATCTTGGCGCTGCTCTATTCGGTTGTGATCCTCGTCTACCATGTGCCCATCGTGCTGCGCGGCGAGGTGTGTGCGGAGAGTGGCAAGCAGCACAAATACAATAATGGACTCTACGCGAATCTGCGAAGTGTCTTTGGCCAGCGCATGCACATTGCCTGGCTATCGCCATTGATAAGGAGCGAGTTGCCCGGCGATGGCTATACTTGGAGCACAAGTTCTGGGGAAAGCAAAAAGAGAAATTAACTCAGCTTAGAGGTTTTACAGTTATTGAGTGGCAGTCAACTTATATGTTATGGTATTATCTATGAGTCGAGTTTAGCTATATGTAGGTACTCTTCAAATGGAGATTGCTCGTAGCAGAATCACGAAAAATGAACAAAACCCAATATATCATCATCAATATGTCATCAAGAGCAAACGAATGCTAATGTGTCTTAACTATTAAGTTTAGTAATTAATCATAGTTAAAATAAATCTATTGTGTATGTTGTTATTGTTATAATTATTTTATTACATTTTCTTTGATTAATTTACGTAGAAATATATAGTCTATTTGTGTTAGGGTACAATCATTGTTCTTAATATTTTTTTTTAAAAGTTCAATGAGTAAAATTATTGCCCTATAAAAGATATGTCAAATCCAAAGCCAAAAAATATTTCTCAATTAAAAAAATAAAATAAAATAAATAAATAAGTAATGTCTCTCATTGTAAATATTTTTATGAAATTGAGAGAAAATTCCTATTTCAGCTAAAATAAAAATAAATATACATATATAAAATAATGGTATATCTGTTTTATTATACCTTTTTTTCCTCAAACCTTAACAAACAAATTAAATACAATTACTAAATTCACACACATATATGTTTATACATATTTTGCCAACAAACATGTTTCGAGTAATCTGATGATATCAAAATTCATAATTTCAATCCAGTTTGACATTTAGCTTTTTTTTAGATTTTTGTTTTTTGTTTTTAATATTGTGGATCCCAAATATGAAATTGCGCAGTAAGCCATATCCGAAAACGTGGTTCGAGATTCTGCTTTCTCTGAGTATACTTATACTCTTGCCGGTGACATTCGTATTTGACATATTTTTTATACTGCCAACTCTACACGAGCCATATTCCTTTTGGTACTACTTCAACATCGTGTTGGCCGTATTCCTGAACCTCAACATCGAGGCCAACATGCTGGCAGGCATGTTGATCGACACAAGCGTTGATTGTGAGTGACAGCTGACAGCTGACAGTGCTTAAGAAACTCTTCTCAATGTATATCTCATTTGCCAGATGAACAGTGCCAGCCGCCGCCAGAGGGCGACGCAGCTCGCTTGGAGTGGAGGCATTGCACGGTCTGTGATCGCTGGGCGCCGCCCAGATCGTGGCACTGCAAGCTCTGTGACGTCTGCATACTGAGGCGCGATCACCACTGCAACATTGTGGGCAGCTGTGTGGGGCATCACACTATGCGCTATTTTGTGTGCTTCGTAATACAATTCACCTTCGGATCGGTCTACTCCACGATCTATCACTTATACTTTATGTTGCGGTACAATTATACCTTGGTGGTCCTACATTTGATTTGCGGTCCTTTTCCACTCTTCGAGCTGGTGACCCTCAATGTGTTCAGCTGGAAGTTGCTTGCACTGTACTCAACTTGTACGGCATTTCGTTATTATCTGCCGCATGTGTTGCACGGGACTGTGCGCTTCGATCGTGGACCGAAGTACGACTGCGGACTCGCCTACAATCTGCGATGTGTCTTTGGCGAACGCATGTTTCTGGTTTTGCTATCGCCTTTCATCAGCAGCAAATTGCCCACGGATGGCTATTCCTTTCAAATTAATCCAAATCACATAACGGCAAAAAGTGTGATGGCAGTTTAACTGATGTAATAAATAACGGAAGTGAGAGATTTTTATCATACGTCTAGTTTATTTAATTTCTATATCACGAATGCGAAGCTCTTTTAACTAAAACTTTTTAAGGATTGCTCCTATGAATCCATCACTATTCCATATATGAGAATATTTATTTTGGCACTCCTGGGCTCAGACTCGCTCAATGCATAGCAGCTCAAGCGCAATGTCGTGTGATTGCAGCCGATGCCACCTTGAACGATCTCTGTTATGGCAACCGGATCCAATGGGGTTTCATCGAAAACCAAAATTAGAATTATTGTAAATTTCAAGTTGCCCTTGAATGCATGAATGCCGAATGTTTGTTGTTAAGTTAATAAGTACACACATTTCAAGCTATTCACCTCACTTATTATCTTGTCGTCGTATTCTACATAGCGTTCGTCACAATTCCAACTTATATCGTCCTCATGAATGGGCACGGCAGCTGGATCCATTTGGCCATATTGAAATGAATATCCGAAAATTATATTTGTAAAGGTAATTAAGTAAAAAGCACTAACTGACAGCAGCAACGGTGGAGACATGATTTGATTTTATACCAAATGTCAGGAAATAGAAAGCCATTTACTTTTTTCGTGCGCTCTTATCAGGCACTAAAGTACCTAAGTTTGTTTGATTAGATATTAGAGTAATTGATTTTATAACAGAATATAACAAGTATAAATACTCTAGTCGAGAGTGCTTGACTATTTACTAACCTGAACCAAACTAAGAAAAAAACACATTGAGTACGGTTTCTATTTCTATTCTATTTCGATATATTAAAAAAGATAAATGAAATAAAAAACTTATTTAAGTATATAGTACATGTGTATTTAAAAACTAATGACATGACGCACTTTTACTAGTTACAATTGAGATAATTACATTTTTTGAAACAATGAAAATATATAAATAAATACAAAACTTGCGCGCTCTGAAGTCGTATAAGAAAACTGTCGTAGCTGCTTCACGTGTGTTTGTTAATTGGCCAAATATTTTGTTATTTTTTAACGTCGATAGGTTTAATGTAATCTAATGAAACTTTCGGCATATGATCTACATAAATATATAGAAATGTAATTCCAAAAAAAATTTTATTTAAATTTAAAATATTTAAATTTCCCATGGGGTTGCTATTCACTATAATAAATATTTCAAATGATTTAACGCTCTCTCACGTCTACACGTTACTGGCAATAAGCGGAATTACAACTATCGCATAAAAGTGTCTGACTATCGCATGCAAGTGTTATCGGAATCGATAATTTCCAGCTGATTTGTAGCTCTTATTTAATATACACGCTCTTGCACTCCAATTCAATTTGGATGTCAAATTGTTAATAAAAATGTTTCGCAAACAATTTGGTAACTTGTCGCGTGTCTCCACACACCTGTCCCGCAATGTGCTAGCTGCTCGTGTGGCCAGCCGGGAGGCCGAAATGTCAACAAATGCAGCGCCGGCAGAAGCCGCTACCGCACCGCCTGTCGTCAATGAGTTTCGGACAGGTGTGGGAAATCCTGGTGAGCACTCGGATGTACAAATAGGCAAATTCTACACTATTCCCATGGAAGAGAAGAAGCAAATTTTCTCTGGCGGCGGCCTGCCAAAGCAATACGAGCAACAGATCAAAACCTTCACCGAGGCCTGCCTAATGGTGCGTTCTCCTGCCCTCGAGCTGCTGAATTACATCAAGAGGGCTGATTTGTCGAAACCGGTGGTACGTTATGTGCTGTATGGTGACAATGGTGTTGGCAAAACCCTGTCCATGGCACATGTCTTGCATTATGGCATGCTGAACGACTTTCTGCTGGTGCACGTGCCCTGGGCGCCCAACTGGATGAAACGGCCCAAGGAGTCAGCGAACTCAGCCAGCCAAGAGGGCTTCATCGATCTGCCATTTGATGCCGCCGCCTGGCTGGTGCATTTCAAGACGCAGAACTCGAAGCTGCTCGAACGCCTGCAACTAAAGACCAGCAAGGAGTATGTGTGGAGCAAGCGTGAGAGCACACCAGCAGGCTCGTCCCTGATCGAATTAGTGGAGCATGGCATTGCGAGGATCAAGTATGCATCGGAGACAACAGCGGCTCTAATCTCGGAACTGAAGCAACTGGCCACTGCTGGCCAGTGCAAGGTAATGGTGGCCATAGATGGCTACAATGCCTTCTTCCATCCCATCACGCGCATCTTCTCCGACAACAAGCAGCGTGTGTCCCCAGACCGCATAACGCTCACCCAGCCATTTCTGGATATAACCAACTACGACTGGACGAACGGCGTGTGCATTTTATCTGTGGATAAAATAGCCATGACCGAAGGCTATATGGAATCCTATTTGCCACGCTATCTGCTTGGCAAGGAGGGCTTCGAGCATCTGGATCCATTTGTGCCCGTGCACGTTGGCAATTACACGGAGAAAGAGTTCACCAGCTATATCAAGTACTATTTGGATCGTCATTGGATCTCGAAGACGCAGCCCGGCTTTGAGGAGCAGCTCAAATTCATGAGCAACATGAATCCCTATACACTAATGCAGCTGGTCAGAGGCCTCTAGTGTTGCTGTTTAACAATAACTTTTTGTTAGTCCCTAAATGTTAATAAAAATAAAAATAAATCAATTTCGAACGATCGAAGATATTGAAATAAAATATGCAATTAAATAATAAATGAAATAAAATGTTAAATAGATTTATACTTTCAACTCATATATGAACTGTAAAAAATTTTCAAATTTCCTGTCCTTAGAATAAATATTGATGCAGCCATCTGCCTTCGTTTCTACAGGACCATATATCTATCTATATAGGAATACTAGTAATATTCCTATCTATAATATAATTTATGAATATATTTCTTCTTTTTTTTTTTCAATTTCAGTTTCTCTTCTAAAAAAAATTAAAATATTATTTTGGATTCAAGTTTATTCAACATATTCAATTCAAATTGTGAATTTATTTAACGATAATCAGCAATATATAATAATGCACTGTAAAATAATTATAATGCGGTGTGGTGTGTGTGTTTGTTTGGTTTCTGTGTGTGTGTGTGGGTGTCAATAGAAATTATGTTTTGTCGCTTCATAAGCTCCCCTCTCACACACCTGCTGCACATGCATAACAGTAAATCGATTGATTTCATCTTCATTTCATTTCGTTTCGGTTCCGTTCGATTTTTGGCTTTCGGTAAAATAATGCAAAAAAAAAAAAAAAACAATAAAAATGGAAAAACCAATTGAACTAACATACTCATACTGTATTATTATGCATATGGTTCATATATATATTTTAGGTTTTATTTTTGTTTTCTTCTCTTTTTTGGCGTGCGGAATCAAGAAAGTTGAAAATGTTTCTCGAATCACAAATAATAACTAAGCAGCTGCAATTTAACATTGTCACCATATTATTTGTATGTATATTTGCATAATTCTATTACAATTTTAGTTGCTTTTAACAACAATAACAATTATGTGTGTGTGTATAGGTGTGTGTTGTGTGTGGGTTTGGATTCATTTCGTGTGTATCATTAAATTTATTTTTTATCTTCTTTTTTTCTGACGTGTTAATGCTAAGCTATGTAATGTTTTTTTTTTTATTATTATTTTTATCATAATCGCGCTCTAGTCGATTTATGTTTAGATTCATGTTTGCATTATTAATTGTTGATTCTTAATTTTTTTTTTTTTTTTTTTTTTTTTTGGTTTTTGTTTATACGTTTATATGTATTGTATGCTTGATTATATGTGGGTATTATGTATTTATGTATTTCTGTGTACGTGAAATGTCAACGTAAAAAGTACAAAAATTAAATAAACTACATTTCTGTTACGCTCGACACTTTTCCGAATTCATAGGTTACAAATAATAATAAGCCTCCTAATCGTTGTAAAATGCATTACGATAGCATTTGGAGAAATAGTTCAATCATGTATAATTCATATGTATTATATATAAATATATATATATATATATATTTGTATATATATGTATTGAGATATATAAATATGAAATGATATTAAAAGAACAAATGCGTCAATTATAATGAATACAAAATTAAACAAAACAAAATAAAATCAAGACACCTTGGGGTCCGTTCGGAAAACAGATTCACACAGTTTAAAATTCCAATAAACAAAAAAAAGAAAACGGAAAGCTTAGAAAATGGCATCTAACGAGTTCCCCTCAATCCACTCCTACAATCAATCGAAAGCCCAATTAACGTTCGTCGGTGTGTGTGTGTGTTCTTGTTGTACGTGTGTGTCGTCTGTGTGTGTGTGTGTTCATTTGGAGCATTCGTCTACTTAGGCTAATTTCTTAAACGTACATTTTACTCATTTCATTTCATTTCGTTTTGTTTGGTTTTGGTTAGGTTTTCCACTCTCGAAATCTTGTTAAACTCAATGTGTGAAAATTATATATGTATGTGTGTGAGTGTGGTGTTTGTATGCGTATGTGTGTATGTGTGTATCTATAATTATTACATCTACCTTTGGAGCAGTGTGTGTTATGATCCGGCTCAGGCTACAAAACGACCAAAGCCCAATCATCTAATGGCGGCGGCGCATGCACATGCATCAGTTACATACATCTATGCACGTTGCTAGGCGGGGCATGCATTTGGATGAGATGATGATGGACATGATGACAAAATGGTGAACAAACAGCGAGCGGCAGGTGACGCATTGCTTCTGTATTATTTCTTAACAAACTGGTAGGGGGCGGCGGGACGGTAATGCCGTATAGGCTGCACAGTGTTACCAATTCCACCGCCTGTGGCAGTCACAATGGTATTGGCCATTATCCCACCGCCGGCATTGCCCATGCCAGCGTTGCGTCCATTAAAATTGGCTGAGCTAACCACCATGCAAGGTGATTCACGTACAATGGCCTGCGGCGGCAAGGTTGTATGCATCGCATTGCCACGCTGGGCAGCTGAAAGAAGAAGAGGCGAGAGTTAGCAACGAGGGAGCACAACTAGAACACTGCAGCACACACACACTCACCTGGCACATAGGGCTTTGGCTGGTGATAGGCATTGTTGTGTGAACGATAGTAGACAGTCTCGTCGTTGTGATGATAGTGCGGCTGCTGCTGATACTTTTGTCTGAAATGGAGCAAGCCATGGCTGTAAGTGGCGAAGCATTGGGAAGGTGAATTTGTTTTGGTTCAATTGCAATTCACCTGTAGCTGCCACCAGAGCGATTGTTGCCATTGCCGTTGCCACCAGAAGCTGATTGTTGTTGCTGCTGCTGCTGCTGTTGCTGTTGTTGTTGCTGCTGCTGCTGCTGCAACTGGCGCAGGGTCAGCTTTTTGGCAGCTTCCGGATCCTCCATCAGCTCCCTGTACTGCTCCTGACGTATATCGTCATGCTTATCGGGTATCAGATACCGCCTAATTTCGGCCAGCGCATACGCAACACGAGCGTAAGCCTCAGCTGGTGGTGCTATGGTGGACACCTCGACATGGAGCGGAAGATTCAGGTGGGCATATTTAGCGTCCGCAGAATTGCGTAGCTCCTCCTCACGTGCACGATCCTTCATTGAGAACCGGCCCAATATGACGATTTTACACTGCGTCTCCTCCTGCAGCCGACGCAGCGAGTTGCCCTTGGGGCCAAGCAGTTTGCCAACATAGTTGAATTTCTTATCCTTGATCGGCACGTGCACCTTCTGCGACAATTTAATCGTCCGCTGCTGATACACATCGGCGTACTGGTCTCTCGTCGGAATGCGACCATTCAACTGCACCCGCTCCAGAGCTGCAAGATCGTTTCATATGCATAAACATACACACACAGCCAGATATGCATTTGAGTATATGTGGGTGTGTGTGTTTGTGAGATGCATATGTGTGTATGCATTAGTATTTACCAATCAGTGTGTACATAAGGTAATTGGTTGAACTTATTTCATTACCTTCATCAATTAGTTTTAATGCCAATGGAAATTGACTCTCCATGCGCGACCGTTCGCTCATCAGTTCTTGCATGTATTTTTGGGCCGATTCATTTAGACGCACCGGCTGCACCTTCTCGTTGTCCACAGCATTGTGCTCGTTCTCGTGCTCCCCGTTGCTGGTGCCAGCATTTGCATTGGCAGCCGCCGCCGCTGCTGCCGCCGCCGATGACCCTGGGCCGACACGCATTCCGTTTTCCGCCATTTGTCCTGCTTTCCGTAACGGCGCCCGTAGTCAATTGATGTGGCGAATATTACCAAAACGAATCGGCACAATGCGTGGCGCGTTTTATGTTAATGGCCCCGTCGCCGAGCAGTCGATTTAATTTGAATTTATCAAATATGTTTGCAACCTCTTTGTGGCCCTAATTTTTTCTCTCTTTTTCCATCAAAGTGTGTACACATTTAGCGAATATAGAAAAACGCGCTTTCCATCCCACACTGTCCAGCCCTGACAAGCCCAAGTGCCAGATTGACCAGCACTAGCAATCTGATATTCATTACGATAGTATCGATAGAGTGTGGTGGAAGAGCGGTAGCTTGTTCTTTATATTGTCTGTAGTGTTACCATTGTTTGTGAATAAAACACCCTACCTAGTAAACTTATGAAAAACTCTAATTTTTATTGAAAAATTAAGTAAACAGTGAATTAAAACGCGACTAATATCTGTACAATATTTGTCTTATGCCCTACTGCAGTAATTGCTTAAATGCCATTGCAATATATTGATAGTTTCTTACTCTACTGACTGATATAAGTTGTATAATGACTGCATTTCGATCTATGTCGAGTAAATTTACACTAATAAATCATGTTCTCAGTTAAATAAACATTTTTCGCTGATAAACACTAAAAAACATAAACGGTGTAATTTAGAAAACTACTGTTTTCAATTACCATTAGATGTGAAAGATACCAAATCCTTTAAAATATGTAATACGGCAACACTGATTACCCCATACATAAAAGAAAATTTTTTCAGGCACATCAGTTTTGCAATTGAACTTTGAATTTCGCTCTGACTTAATTAGTTGCCACAAACTTGTAATTAGTGGCCAAGATATATACACTTAAAGTGTTTTTATTCAAACAAAATGCCGCGAGACTACGACAGAGACTATAATGAGGACACCGCCGCTGATTACAAGCGGAAGCGACGTGATGATGAGGCAGCCGGCGCCGGCAGCGCTGCAGACGCTCCCGAAGTGGATGGCAGCCATGGCCACACAACTAGTCACGCCCCATTGCATGACACGCCACAGCTGAATGAGAAAACAAACGCGTACCTGCAAGAGTGCCTAATGGAAAAGAAGACACTAGAGAAGAAACATATTATAACAAAGCGTCTACTGGACGATGGTGAGTATAGAACACGTAGGAGATGCTGAGTGCACGATGTAATCGCTATGATTATTTGCAGAGGTGGAAAAGATTTTGGTCAGCGGTCGCATTCCAAAGCCAGAGATATACGCGAATGTGTATAGCGAAAAACCGATTAGGGTGGCCCAGAAAGTGCTGTTTCCCATCAAAGAGTATCCGAAATTCAATTTTGTGGGGAAGATACTTGGTCCAAAGGGCAACACACTGCGCCAGCTGCAAGAGGAAACGATGTGCAAGATGGTTGTCATGGGACGCAATTCGATGCGCGACCATGGCAAAGAGGAGGAGCTACGCAGCTCCGGCAATCCAAAGTATGCCCATCTCAGCAGAGATTTGCACGTAGAGATATCGACAGTGGCGCCTCCAGCCGAGGCATATCATCGCCTGGGATATGCCCTGTGCGAAATACGCAAGTTTATGATACCTGACGCCAACGATGACATTCGTCTCGAACAGTTACGAGAAATGGACGGCAAGGAGCGCATGTATAAGAAATCTCATCACTATTCCAAGTCCTATGGAGAACATGGCGGCTATAGCACTCGGTAAGTTCAACCCACCCACACAATGCACTGCATAGTCTGAGAAGCATAATCAAAACCTAAACGATGCACTTTAGATTGCAAATAGATAGTTTTTCAGTTTATATCACTTTATAGGAATGATATTTGAGACAGTTTCAAAGTACAGTTTGCCAAACAATCTCGAATTTCAGTTGTTTCCAGTAGAGCTCTTTCAAAGTAGACTTTCACATATTGTTTTTCAATGTTGGGCCAATATTTATAGAACTAGAGAACTAGCAGATATTTAATTGATATATAGACAGATATTTCTCTTGAATTGCTGAAAAAAAAAAGAAAAGTGCATTGAATCATTTTTATATTATCATTTAGCACACCACCGCCAGCCACATCTAAGCCGAAGGTGTATTCAATTCTCGAAAAGGCCCGCTATGTAATGGACGATCCCAATTACGGAATTGTCAAAGCTCATAGGTAGGTGACTAGGTGAACCTGACTAAGAATATTTGTCATTAATTTGTATGAAATGCATTTGGTATTCGTTTATGCAGATCACGGGATCATGAGCTATACGATCACCATGGGGAATATGATCGGTATGCGACGCCGCCTCCGCCCCAGTCATCCAAGCATTCGAGTCATCATGCCCAATATGCAGACAGCAGCTCATATGAGCGTGACTATAGACGTGAGTATCATCCGCACTCGTCTTCCTCATCCTATGCGGCGGCCTACACAGGTAAGAACAGTCGAAATTAGATAATTAATGTCTTTTCCGCAGCTGGACTGTTTACAAATGAAAAACATATAAACAAGAAAACAAAAGAAAAAGGCAAAAAATACAAATCGCGCGCAAAAAAATACCAAGAGAAGCAAATTAAAATACCAAAATATATCAAGTTAAGAAAAACGCGAATCGAAATTATGAAAAAGAATAAAACGGAAGTTCCATCCACATATATATCTATATATATATACATTTAACAAGATTTTAAATGCACTACGCCTGACAGGCGATCGATCGAATATAACTCTCAAAACTCACAATTATGACAAACCAAAATCAGAAGCTCAAGACAAACTACTCTCTACTAACAGCAATTCGAACAAAAGCATTTCAAACACAAAACTTTTAAAGCAATTCAATTCAATTCTCATACATTAAAAAAATCCAATATTTATCTGTGATATAGTAAAGCAAAAAGTTGAAGAAAAAAATCAAAAAAATAAAACAAAAATAATATGTTTTAATTTACTGGGGCTAGTGCATTCAAAACCGGTTAAACTCCTTTATATTTTTTTTTGTTTGTTACCTATTTTAAGATCAATTAAAACAGAAAAAACTAAATAAATGCAGAAAAGAAAAAAAAAAAAAAGAGCACAGAGACAAAAACAATTGAAATCTAAACAACAAATAAAATTCTTTCCAAAATAGCAAAACCAAGCAACGGTCGTTCCTCATCGTCATATAGACCCACAACATCGAACTCGGGATCACATTCATCGGCTCACTATGAAACTGGATCACGTTCTCGTGAAAGCGTGCGTTATCGCTCGGCTCCATATCCAAAAATGCGCTAATTTATCTCTCACAATAAATCAACCAACCAACCAACCCAACCCAACCAACAAATCAACCAACCAACCAACAAAGTTAAGTAGTTTTTATGCAGCAATAAGAGCGGCAAAAATCCCAAGCTAAAAAAAAAAAAAAAAAAAAAAAAATACAACCAACAACAATAAATACCAAAATGTTTAAAGTCCAATAATCCAACCAATAATAATACATAAAATCTATTCATACACTATTTATAAAAAAAAAAAAAAAAAAAAAAAAAAAAAAACCAAACAAAATTTAAATGCAAAACCTATTTTATAGTAATTGTTGTTTAAAATATTTCATTTGTGTTAAACCAAACAAAAAAAATCAGAAAAAAACAAAACAAATATTAATAACGCAACAAAAAAAAGAAAGGAAAGTAAACACAGCTATATTCAACTTGAACAAAATATTGTAAAAATCGTAAAATTCACAAAATCAGTTAAACTTTAAGAAAAAAGATGCAAAAACAACAACATTATACACACACCTATATGCAATCGTAATTAAAAAGATAAACCCCTAATTATTCTAAACAAAATGTTAGCGTAAGTTTTGAAATAATTTTTCAAATAAGTTTATGAAGAGATAAACAATAAAAGTTAATTAAATAAAATAAAAATAACAGAAACGCCCAACGACAAAGTAAGTATGCAAACGGCTTCAATAAAAAAGAAAACACAACTTCCAAAAAAAAAAAAAAAGCAAAGAAAATAATGCAAAAAATTGTCCGGTTACGTTCAAATTCAGAGCTTTCCACGCTATATATAAAAATGCGTTAAAACTTAAAGGAAGAACTAAAAACCTAATGTATAATATACTTGATCATTATTTATAATTTTTAACGATGATGTGCGCATTGAAAACATAGAATGAATAAAATCTAATATTTTTAATCTATTTCTCTGTGTTCGTCGAACACTATCCCCAAATAAACACAACATTATAATAGAACCAAATAAATAGCGTTTTCCTTTTGATACTCAACGAAAACATGTTGAAATAATTATAATATCACAATGGAATTTTTTATTTGGGATCCTTCAAAAATTCAGTGCACCATCCAAGAACATAAGACTATCCACAGCGGATATGGCGAGATCTACGTCCCTCTTTTGTATGGTCTTCTTCTTGGCCTGCGCCGTGTAGGTGTAGGCCTCGCGAGCCAGGGATTCGATAAATAACTCAACGGCTTTTGTCACTGCAAAGACGGCTTCATTCGATGCGATTTGAAGATCTGGATCCAATTTCATAATGTTTCGAATGCGACCCATTGGCAGCTGCGTGAGCTTACCATCGTGCTCATGCTCCGAGGTCTTGTTGCCGTTGGCTGCGGATACATTAAAAATTAACAATTTGTTGTATTTGTTAATGGATCATAGCGCCAGTAGTTTTACTTGTTTTTGTCTGCTCTGGGCTCTTGGCAGCCGGCTGATTGACACTTGGCGAGCTGTTCGTGCCGTTTTGCCCAATGGATTTCTCAACATCTTCAGTGTCGTGTTCAGCCATCTCTGCACTCATTTCAACGTCTTTTTGAAATTCCTGCCCCAGATCTGGCTCCTCGGAGTAATCATTACGAAACAAATCTTCACTTGCCATTGCAATTCAATTTTATTTTCCAGATTTAGTGGTAAATGCTGTTTACTTTGTGCAACACGGTATGTCGCCGCCAAAAGAGTATCGATATAAAGCTGGCATCGATGACATCAGGCCATTTATATTGTCGGCATCGATAACGTCTGCCATTTCTATCGTTTTCGTAGCTGGCACTGAAAATTTTACAAATTTAATCGAAGAGGAAGATTAAAAGCGTACAAACTATTATACACAATTTTCACGTGAATTTAATTGAAAAAAAAGGAAAAAATGGATAGTGCTAGTAGCGATTTTAGTGAAAAGCCAGCTCCACATGAGCATCAGCCGCGTTTGAACGAAGTTGCTCAAAAATTCTTGGCCGATTTAGACGAGGAACGCCAGCGTCTGTCCGCCGACTTCCCATTATGTGCGCTGTTGATTGACGAAGGTAATGGAGGAAAAAAAAAAATGTCGAGCATGTATTATGATTTATGTATGTATACATGTATTACGTTTCAGCTGTGGATCGCGTTTATTGCACTGGCCGCATTCCTGGCCGCGAGTTTTATGCCGATGTTTACAAACAGAAGCCAATGAAAATCACACAAAAGGTCTTCGTGCCCGTCAAGCAATATCCAAAGGTAATACGAAATGAACAGCTAGCAAATGGGGTACTTAAATTTGGCATATTCTTTATAGTTCAACTTCACTGGTAAGATTCTGGGTCCCAAAGGCAATTCATTGCGTCGTCTGCAAGACGAAACCCAATGCAAGATTGCGATCAAAGGGCGCAGCTCAATACGCGATCGCGGCAAGGAGGAGCAGCTGCGCAGCTCTGGAGATCCGCGCTATGCTCATCTGCAGAAGGATCTGTTTCTCGAAGTGAGCACTGTGGCGACGCCCGCTGAGTGCTATGCTCGCATTGCCTATGCGCTGGCCGAGATCCGTAAGTATCTAATTCCAGACAAAAACGACGAAGTCTCCCACGAACAGTTGCGCGAGCTAATGGAAATGGATCCGGAGTCTGCCAAGAACATACACGGACCCAACTTAGAAGCGTACAGGTACGTAAAAATAATAAACAAACATTAATTTAAATTATAACATGCTTAAATTGTAAATTGCAGATCCGTTTTTGACAAGAAATTTGGCGGCAGCAGCGGTGCACCGAAATACTTGAATCTTATCAAGCGAGCAGCGGAAAATCCGCCCGAGTAAGTTACTTGTAAAGTATAATTTTAAATCAATTCTCTGTAAGCGTCAAATAATGAATGGCAAACAATCTGAACGAGGCAGCGTATACCTGAACTGAACCGAAAATATTTGAGCTTTAACATTGTTTACTGTTACAATAATAATATAATTTTTTTAGAGTCGAAGAGGCTGAAGAGGTGGCCTACGAGTATGATCATCGCATGGCCAAGCGTGGCGCACCATCTGGATATGAATACACCAAACGTAAGTTAAGCCAACGATTCGTAGCGAGTATACCTTAGAAATCCCAACTATGAACAACAACATAACAATGGGGGATCTTCTCTTAGTGCGGGTCGATACGAAATCTAAATCGTTATAAATCAAATTGATTGCATTATCTATGCAAATGTCTAAATATTAAAATGCAGTTGAGCTAACTGATGATGACTAATTCTTATGCAATAACAAACTATCTCTCTACATATAATAACTCTATACCTATTCAATTTATATAAATGTATAACATATTTAAAATGCATAACATTTTATAGCACGCCCATCAATAATACCAACAAGCGCAGCTGCATATAAACGGCCACAGCCATACCAAACTGACATGAAACGAATGCGCGAACCACCCATCAAGTCTTATAAACCGAATACGTACACCATTCTGAAAAAGTATAAATAAATGAAAGCACAGCAAATGCTCCTAAAAATATAAGTTCAACCTACAAATATACAAAACTATCTAAATATAATTAAACCACAAGCAAAGACGATGTAATAGTACTATAAAAAAAATTTCTCATTAAAAAAAAAAATATATTAATTAAAATCAAGAGAACGTTTCAATTTGTTTTGGCCTTGGGTGAAACACCAAAATGCAAATGCCCAATGCTAAACAAATCTGAAAAATAATACATTAATTATAATATTAAAAGGTTTTTAATTCACGCTCCTTCCTATAAGTATTTTTTTTTTTATAATTCGGCACCTTGAAGGTTGTGAACAACCCGACTTATTTTTATGTTTTCAAAATTATATTTTAAATTAGTATGGAGTAAAGAATAAAGAATAAAAGAAATGATCAATTTTAATAAACTAAAAGCAGCTTATAATATACTTTGATTATAAATAGATACTAAAAAAACGCCGTAGCAATAGAATGTATAAATTAAATAAGATTCCATTTCCACTCGGAATCATACTGTTTATAAACAAATAAATTTGGATCAATTTATATATATACATATATATATATATATATATATATATATATATATATTTAAAATCTATAAACAGTTAAAGTTTATAACAAAATATGCGCATATTACAATAAGATCAAATGAAACTATATAAAAATTTATAAATTTTTAAAAATTTTAACAAATAAATAAATATGCTCAGCACAATAATAAAACCAGCAACCCACATTGAATGTAAATTATGAACAATAAATTAGCTTTACAGCACAGACGGAGATATTTCCTAAGACGATCACATTAAAATCTTGAAATGAGCCAATCCCAAGATAATATTGTGTTTTTAGCACATAATTCTCTATGGCATTCCCACAGTGTTTCGAGCTAACTCAATGTCTAAGGTATGTACATGGATGTATAATAAAATTGATAAATATATTTCTGAAAATAATTATGAAATTGCAATAAATAAAATGTAAAATACATGAAGTTGTGCATATTTTTTTATTTTAGTTTTTAAAATTTGGGAAAATGTAAAGGTTAGTATAACTTCAAATCAAACAAAGATTCCGAGAGTATCTTTAAGAGTATGTTAAGTCACCATGACAAAGTAATGTATTTCTTATAACTTTAAAAATATAATGAAAATAGCAGTTTTAACTAAGTTTTGCTTAACCTGTAAAAAGTTATTAAAAAATTAAACTCAAAAGCTCATAAATATTATATCTTGAAATAGCTGATATAGGCATACCCTAGGCTGAATCTATCTATTAAATGTTTATTTTATACATATGTACATACTAAATGTCACATGCACACACATATTTATACATACATATATGGGCTTTATCATGGGATCTTTGTTCAACTTTCCCTTCGATTCGTATTTCTTAATCAAATCATGTATATATGATTCATTACATTCATTGCAAATGCAACCCCTATTGAAATATTCTTTCTGCTGCAATCTCTATGTTGTCATCGTTGTGCTCAGACTTCAGACAAAAGAAAATTACTTAAATTAAACCTTAGCTATTAATAATGGAACTTTGTTTATGTAAGGAATAAGAAATCGTTATTCATTTCTCTGCAGTTGAATGTTTAATTTAGGTATATTCTCTGTTTTTTAATAAGTCATCTTCAATTTAAAATATACTAATTTTTATTATTTCTTCTACTAGATGTGTCTTAAAAGTCATGAATTATTTACAAATGTACTGAATCCAGAAGACTCTTAAAAAGAAATACAAATATCTTATCTTTCAAAACAACAGTTTATTTGGTTTCAGTTCAGCTTAGGATAAATTTAATACTATAACGCTTAAAGACTGTTTAATTGATATGTAGATATATACAGCAGCCTATAGACTCTATGATCTTTCATTACAAGCTCTTGCTACGCTCTATAGTATATGTTGTGGCCCGTAAAAGTCGCAATCCAAATTTGTTTCAGGACTTCTTCGTATGGATGTGCTGCACTGCTGTTGTCCTGGCAGCCAGCTTCCCGCTGCATGCGCTCCAAAATGCGACGATAGACCTCTGCGGCAGTTTGCAGCTGGTTGCAGTGGCTCTGCTCGCTCCAGACTCCCATGTTGCTGGGAGACTCAAGGCCAGCCTGAGCTGTGTCAATGCATTCTGTGCTGGGAATCATTTGAAGAGAGTGCGAGTCTGGCCTAAGCAGTTAGAAGTAGTCGTAGTTTATCTCTGATGTGCCGCACAGATTTGTTTCGAGCTGTGTCCTGGTCGCCGTGCCGCTGTCGACTGCCGCAGGAAGTTTCGTGTTTCTTGAGCCGCGCTTGGCTTGCGTCGGTTCCACCACCCTGGCTCTGCCCTGGCCCATTGTGCTTGGCTGCCTGCCTGCCTGCCTGCCTGCCAGGCCATATGGCCTGCATGTCCTGCGCACATTGCGGAATTCCTACCCACAAACTGCAGCTGCTTGTGTGACAGAGTAAAGGACAGACAGAGAGGGAGAGAGGCAGACTCTGTCTCTGTCAAGCGCGGCGGGTGTTTACTTGTGCAGTCGCCCCTATTCGCTCCACTATGCACTCTATGGAACTCTGAGCGTGTTCCCTCTAAGGGTGGGTTTTCTTTCACGAAACTCTCATTATGAAAGGCTGAAATTGAAGTTTTTATTATTATTTATTTTTAACGGCTTCTGCATTGATTGCACTGCTGCAAAATGGGAAGAGCTCCAATTCGATTTTCAAAAATTTTTTTATTATTTTTATTCTTCTTTGTATTCGGTTTAAGACACTTGGAAATATTACATTTTATGCATTTGTTTCAATACAGTTTTAACAAAAATAATATATTGTATATAAAATAAAGATCTATTGAAATTATGAACTATTTGTTACTGCTGGAATCTTATGTTTTAAGCTAGTTACTTAAGTTAAATTTCTTTGTTAAGAAAAGTTCAGATAAAACATATTTATAGAATTTTGATAGGGAAACAACAAACTCTTAGCTAAGGCAACTGAATCGGATCAATAATAACATAGTTAATTGTAAATTCTATATACTTTTTGTGGTTTTTCGTCTAGCAGCTATTGATCCTATAATTGATAAGCAATTTCACATATATTTGTGTGTATATATATATATAATAAAGCAGATTCGTTCAACACTTGTATATAGGCGCATATATACAGATTATATATATATATAATCTCTTATGGCTAATCTAGATTAATAAAGCAACACCTAAGTGGAGAAGCAATCCATTCAAGCTCCACCTGATGGGGAGAGGGAATGGAACCAAGGCATTGGCTAATGCGAGAGATTTGCTCAGATTGAACTATTTTGGATACAAGCTCGTCCTTGATTGTGCGCTGTTCAGTAAGTCCTTTTGCCAGTTGAAAAAGTACAAGGTGGTGCCGGTGGTGCCGGTGGTGCATTCATTAGTTAATTGTGTGTGGATTTTGTTGTGGCTTAGAAATGTGCACGGATAAGTATACTGAGAATGAGACATTTCAGAGCTGTTGGCCAGCTGAGCGCTGGAGGCGCCGAGCTGTGGCCAGCCGGCGTCGCGTTTGGCTGCGGAGGACTGGGTGGCGTCGGTGCCAGCTTGACGGAGATGTCGCGCCGCACACCCGACGGCAGCACCTCACAGTGGAAGCTGTGGCCCGTTGCATTGGCCAGGGGGGCAAGCAGTACGAAGGGGCTGTCCAGCTTGTAGATGTCGATCACCGACTGATTGCCGTTCACGACCAGCGTCTCCTCGCGATACCAGAGAATCACATGGTGTTTGGCTGCAATGGAATGGAACATGAAAGCCCGAACCCATCTCAACTGGCTGCAATCATCAATCCATACCATCGTAGTTCTTCACTGGGCAGTCGATCTTCACATTGCTCGCACTGGCATCGACGTGCACGACGCCCGCCTTCTGGTTGAAGAAGGGCACCAGTGGAGCCGCCGTCGACTTGGCCAAGTTGCCCGGCGAGCGCGCTGAATCATCTTCCCCATAGTCATTCTCGTTCTCATTCTCATAGTCGCTCGACATCTCCTCAGCGTGTGCTGAAATACATACACATAGATTAGTAAATGTGGGCGAGGCAAGGTCAACAGCACACCTGGACGTAATTAAGCTCCAATTATGCATTGAAAACCACTCTATGGCAGACACAATCCCTCCCCCTCCCCCCCTCCACGAACTCTTTCAGATTTTCGAGCTTAGCTAGGCCTAAGCTTAGATTCCCAAACGCCCAGCTCCACCCACTCGATGGCAACAACATAAAACCATTAGGAAATGGGCGCAGCTCTGGCCACTGGCAGCGTGTCAACGCCCATTTCACAGCTCATAGTCCCCATAGTTTCCCGAGTCTTTCTACACATGCCATGCCCAGCCGTGCCACGCCACGCCATGTCAGCGCTTCGAGGTCATTATATGTTTCAGCGGGAATTGTCTATGCGTCCGTTTGTCCATCCGTTTGTCCGTTCGTCATTCTGGACAGACATTTTTCGGGATTTCAAACACGGGTATGCTTTGTATATTGATTTATGTCAAGGCTCCCGCAATATGGTTCGCTTGCGTCATTTGCACTTTTAGTTCGTCGCTCAAATTGGCAAATACCCGCTATAAGCCACAGCCACAGCCACAGCCACAGCCACAGCGTGTGCTAATTTATTTATCCTGTTTATCGAACGCTTAGCCACCAACTTGTGGGAGTCTACGGAAATTGGGTCACAGCTATAGAAAGCTAAGGAGCTTCGTGCGAGACTTGAGCTCAAGATGCATGAATACTTGTAGTTATGTGAAATAATAACTGTTAAGTATGTTAAGTACTCGGTAATTGCAGCAATTAGATAAGTGAAACAATCGCAATTGTTGAGCAATAGAAATTATAAACTTAAATTTAATTATAGGTCAAAGTGTTGTTAGTTAAGCAACAGCGGTAATTACAGATTTTCATTAAAACTCAGAGAACTGTCAACTAGCTGCATTTATAGCTATAAAGACTAAATAATAGTAATTGACATTTTAGCTAGTTGCAAGCCAGTTTAAATATAATCGAAATGCCAATTATAATCCAAGTTGAAATCAACAAATGTTTCTACTACTGTGATATATTATAACAATTTTAAGGTATTTTTTAATGGTATTTTAATTTTAGTATTTAAAAATAAATTTTAATGATATCAATTAAATATAAGTTAGGTTTTCTATTAAATTCTTTAATATTCTATGCTGACTTGAATTAAAATTTTTTTTTTTTGAACTGCAGACGGATGCATAAGCAAACAACTTTAAAGAGAGCTACGAGATTATTTATTTTCTTAACATGTCGGGTATAATGGAGTGAGCTTATAGATAATTCAATTCATTTCAAGATTTATTGTTTTAGATCGAATACATACATATATGTAAGAAGTAAAGAGAAACATGGCTCATCTTATAAGACATATGAAGATTTTCTCGAATATCATCAACAGCTATATATACATATTACTTCATATCATTTTGGAGCAACTTCAACATTTAAGTCATGTTATAACTTGTTGCTTAGGTATGACACACTTATAGAGACAAGTAGACGAATAGACTTATCTTTATATGGATATAGCCTGGAGATATAGAGACGAATTAACTTCCCTTTATCTGTTCGTTTCTCATCTCATCTTTATCTATTCGTCTCTGTACACACTTCTCTTTGATAGACTTTTCTTTATATAGATATAACCAGAACAGATAGCAAAGAAATTAACTTCCCTTTATATATTCGTCTCTATGGAGACTTCTCATTATCTATTCGCCTTTATAGAGACATCTCCCTATCTATTCTTTATAGAGACTTCACTTTATCTATTATTCGTCTTACAAAAAGGATCAAGGTCAAAGCTGCAACAAAATTCTCAAGCCTTCATTAGCAGCTCAACTGTCAATGATGTTTACATATTAATAATAATTAAAAAATAAAAAAGAACTCAATTCATTCACCCATTCATGCACTCATTTCCCCGTATTCATTTAGCCGCTTGATTATTCAAAGTCACTTTAATCATGTTGATATTTTTATTCAATGTGCTCATTGTCCCCTCTCCCACTGTCCACTCCATGGATGAGTGTGTGCTGTGACACTAATTTGTCCATTTGCGGTTAGCCACACAAGTGCGTACAGCTCATCAGCACGGTGGTGCCGAGTCAGTGGTGCTCGGTGGTTCGCTGGTTCGCTGGCTCGATGGTGGTGCGCACTACACGCGCCGTCTTCCGAATTTCATCAATTTGTCATCGCTTCGGTCGGCCACAAGACGCGATTCCCATAGATGATTTGCGCGGTTTACAAGGAAATTCTCTATTGCTAAATATATGTACGTCTAGACGTGACTCTATTGTCGATAAGTTAGATTCTCTTATAGATGGATCTATTGCCATATTGTGAATAGTTAACTGGATGTGAATAGAAATGAATAACTCGACATTTGCATTCATTAATATGCGAATAGTTTAGAGCTTGTAAACAGACTCGGCGAAATATTCCATTCAATATTCTATTATTATTATATGACATATACATAAATATATATATATATATATATACACACATTTATATATATGCATATATAATTATGCTTCTGAATATATTTTCAAGAATTGCAATAAAAAAATCTAATAAAAACTTTAAAATTAAGAGAGCAATTGCTTCTGGTGTGAAACTTTTGATTCTCTTAAATTTTCTCTCTTAAACTTTGCATGACTCCAAACAATTTTGCAAGCTCTTTAACTGTAAATGTTTTCTAAGCAAGCTAAATTCTGTTATGCTATTATGTTTAAGCTTTATTCGAAATCAGCTAAATTTGCAAATTTGACTCTTATCTAAAAAAGAGAACTAAAAGTAAATTAAATTTGTTTTTGAAAAATTTAGTCAGCATAGAGTTTCATTAAAAGAAAATTATTTTATAAGAATTTGAAGACAAAATTAATAGAGTTTTAAAGAAGTAAAAAGTAATCTGTAAGTCCACATATTTTACAATTTTGAAAGTATTAAAGAAATCACAAGTTAATTAAAAAAATTGTAGCTAATTAATAGGTGTAATATCTCAGCTGATTCTTATGCTCTCGATTTCTCTATATGACAGATAAATAAGATAATTAAAATTAATGTAAAACCTTCAAAAACTTCCGATCCCATTACCTTAACAGATAAGCATATATAGAAGTATTTAGAAGAAAACTCTAGCTTGGTTTACATTCACGTAAAGCCCTTATACTGTTTCACTCCAAGCATATCAAACATTAAATTCCTTAACTCAGATTCCATACAAGCTCATTGCAAACATTTTATAGCACATTTAAGGATATTTAAATAGTTGCAAAGTAATCAGCGTATGCAAATTGGCGTAGGCCGTTAAATGCTGCCACCAAAATGTTAGTTAGCAGGTCGCAGAGGGAGGCTAATGCACCAGAGACGATGGCTGGGTTGGGTTGGGTTGGGTTGAGTGGTGTTGGGTTGGGTTAATCCATCGATTTCTTGAGCGTTGCCTCCTCGCGCATTCTCACATTTTCCCATTTTGCACTTTGTGCTATGCATCCAGTTTTGGATATACTGCAGGCACTTTGCCTAATCACGCCATAATCTATGTGCTTATACAACTTGAAGGATTGTTTACCCAGCAACATTTTGTAATCCACAGAGATGCAAAGTGGATGCCGCCATATGGCAACAATGAATCGAGCTAGGCAACCTTGGCAAGTATATTATATGTGCTCATAATATATATTCTTTGAATAGTTTTTATGCAATACAATGAAAAGTGGAAAATCTTATGAGTATATATGCTACATATCTATATAATTGGCAGATCTGTCAACATGGCGTATGATTGATAAACTTAGTATGTTGGCATCGCTCAATTGGCTAAGATGGCTAGAGACAAGGCTAATGGATCAGATGAATATTCCATGAAAACAGATGCCATAGATTTTAGCACAAATTGCAAATGTATGTATGCATGTATGTGTGTGTGTGTGAGTCGTTATGAATGCCAAGTGTGCTATAAATAATTGTGTGTGCGTGATGTGAATGGACCGAATGCAAATGCGAAGAACTTATATTCGAAAACATTGAACAGATTCCAATTGGAATCCAACTGGATAATGTAATGCAGCAGGATTTGTACCTGACATCCACAGAGATCCAAGGCTGAGTGCCAGCAGCAGGAGATGCGTCATTCGCCACATTTTATTATGATTATATTTTTTATTGTAACTCGACTGCAGTTGAGCTGGAAATCCTTATCACTTTGCTCTACGATATATATAGTTCTTTTTCTTCGGTTATTTGTTTTTATTTGGCTTTAACCAGACCCGGAGAAACCCGTTCACACTGAGCGACACTGAGAAACTGAACTTTTGCGTGGGTTGCTTTGGTTGTTTGGCCGCTTTGCTCGTGGCGTCGCGCCGTTTCGCGTCGCTTCTCGCAGAGAATAAGAAGAGCACACCACGAATCGTGTAGGACGACTGCAGCATAAAAAAAGGAAATAAAAACGAAAACTATGCGAATGCGAATGCGAACGCAAACGCGAACGCGAATGATGATGGCCGATGACTCACAGCAGCGGCAAACTTTGCTGCCCAATTGGAAATTTACTGGGCGAGCAGAGCGCGCCACACAGGACTCAATGGCATACATATGTATATGGAGATGTCGCTCAAGTGGAGTTTGGCATTTGGTATGCATCGCATGCCCATGCGCGAATGCGACCACAAAATGTAACTCCACAGAATAGCAGGCAGCCCCTGGCCTAAATGCCGTAAAGCTGTTGACTTATCGAGGGTGTTCACATGACAATACGTATGTGTATGGGTATGTATGTGTATATGTGTGTGTATGTGTATGCATATTGTATGCTATGTGTGCAGGAACGTTACGATGCCTAGGTCAGTGCAATATGGAATACACTGTGAAGGCAGCAGACGTGAAATATATACTTTAAATAAATTAAAAAAAATAATAAAAATATATTATTAAACTTGAAAAAAAAAAAGAAAAAACAAATAAATATGAAATTAAAATCCTATCATTATTTATGTTTATATATTTTACAAACAAATTTTTGTTCATCTGATTATTGTTGTTTTTTTTATTTATTATTCTTATACTTATTTACATGTTTCTATGCTAAATTTAAATAATCTTTAATATTTTTATTTTATTATTACTAAAACTATATATATATAGAGTTAATTAAATAAATTCAGTATTTATTTTTTTATATATTATACATATTAAAATTTATTTAACTATCAATATATATTTTTTACTTAATATATTATTTTTAATATATTAAATTTATCTAATATTTTAATTATTATTATTTTTCTATTCCTCAATTTTGTCTTTGTTATTGTTATCTCTGACAATGCTCCATAAGTTGTTTTGAATTCGTTCTCTCTTCCCATTGTTGTCAGTGTATGTTTACATATGTGGAGTGAGTATATTGCTCGGTGGAAGATTGAAATTCTTTCGCACATTTGCTGACACTTCCAATTCCAAACAATTACTTCAGTTGCTTTTTTGCTGAGGCCGTGGGTCCTGTTTCATCCATCATGAACTGCTCTTTTGCACAAACACCAGCTAAACACAACCCCCGACACACACTCCCACACACACCAATACACACGCACACACTCGGTCACACCACATTTGCTCGACTGTACGTGTGACTCGCGTTGCCAACTATACATAGTTTCTAACGCTCTCTTTGCTGTCGTCCGTTGCGGCTCTCTTAGCCGGCGGCTGTGGAGTCTGCGCAGCGACTGAGATAAGAGACAGCTAGAAGCTAGAAAGATCTTGTTTGATTGTTGCTTTATGCAGACATTGCACAGCTTTTAACCAACACACACACACACACACATACATATATCTGAATTGTCGCTGTTGTTTATTTGATTAATTTGTTTTCAAAGTTGTAAAGAAATTCTCAGAAAATTTGGTGAATGCCGCCGCCGTAGCTGCCTCTGCCTCTGCCCCAGCCTCTGCCCCAGCCTCTGCCCCGCCTCCATCTCTCTGCCTACCAGCGACAATGTGTGCGTTGTCTACGTGTAAATATAAATATTTGATTAATATCCTCGCATTGCTTTGCTCAGCTTAGCTGCAGGCGCGAACATGTGCAGTTGGAGATGAAAAACAAAAAAAAGATGAAAATCTCAGATGCTGCTGCCCCCAAATCTGGAGATTTTGCGGATGTTTACAAAACTTGGCAACCAGGCAGCCCAACAACAGTCCCCAACATAAGGCAACACAAACAACAAGATGAATGTGCACACACACACACACTCGCACACACATAGATAGAGATGCATAATGCATCCGCGAGATACTCGCGCACAATACGCACTTTGTTTTATGGTCGTAGATTAATTTTAATTGTTTGTTTGTCTCGTTTCAACTCGACAAGATATCAGCAAATGTTGCATTGCATGTTACATGTGTCTTCTCATACAGTTATTGCAGAGACTGTCTGCCCACACGAGCAATCATATACAAATGTATATGTGACTGCATCTGCTCCCCCAGTCAGCCTCTCGGACTGATGCTGGAGTAAATCACAGCAACGTTTGCCAATCGTCCGGCTTCCCATACAAAACATTTTGCTGGGAACGTTGCAATTTCATTAAGCGAACTGCAACTGGAGACTGCATCAGTGCAGCTCATGCAGCACGAAATGCATCGCAGTGCGGCTGCAGCTCGTCTTTTGCGTCTCTTCTGAGAAACTGCAGCATGTAGAACATATTTAAATGGAAAACACCAGCAAATTGCTCGCTACGAAAATTTGCAATGCCCAATAAATGCGAAAGTATTTGGCACAGGAATGCCTTAAGCAGATAAACATGATATAATTACATTTCCTTTTGCATGCCATTTTGCGAGCCGAATACCAAATTAATTGCCAACCGATTGCCTTTCAGTTAACCTACATACAGTGTATATATGTATATGTATGTGTATACCATATATGTCAGCATATTTGTATGTGTATGTATATATAGTGTTAACATATTTGTTTAAATGTGTCAGATATGTATGTTTCACATATGTTTTGCCTGTATTCTGAGCAAGGGATTCCTTACCGCTAAATGTTACATTTAAAATACATAAATGTGAGTTACATGCATTAATTAGCATAAATAACTTGGGTTTGTTTAATTAACTACTTGAATTTCCCATCTTCAATCAGTGGAGATATATAGTAGATAGTAGTAGAAGGAAATAGAAATTAGAAAATGGAGAGACGATAGAAGGTAAAGGAAACTTCAGATTTCAATAGATTTTTCCCTTGCTAAATCATAAAAATCCTTATAAATAATAAATATACTATTATATATATACGGATATAACATAACACCAATATACTCTCTTCACTTTCCAAAGGTGTATATATCATAAATTTGTTAATTTATTAAAGCTAATCTAAGTACAGTTTTTCTTTTCGTGTCTCAAGCAAGCTATCAACAGTAAAATCTAAAATCAATCAGGAAACCAGCTGAGAGCACTTGTAAATTCGATTTTCCTATGATTATTATTTTGAAAACGTTTCCATATATTGTAGACATTCCATTAGCTGATTACTTGAGGTATTTTTGCCTGGCATTTCCGCAATTGAGTAAACCAGAAGCTAATAGTATATGCTGAAAACAACTGCCTGGCTCGCTTACAAAATAATCATCTGTAAGTAAATAATTTTTAATGACTTGAAACGATTAACGATGCATCGAATGAATAATTTAGATTTTAGATTAAATAACACGTCAATCACATGCTTGGATTGAGAACATGTCAGGAAACTTGGTTCAAAAGTTCTGACATCATAAGAAAAATGTAAAAATTCAAATAAAAAATTAAATAATATTTAAACAAATATTTCCACAAATTTTATATTAATAATTTCTATATGAAAATATTTATACTATATACAATATACGAAATATAAATTGAAACAATATTATTGTAGTACTTATTTTATATTATATCGATAAATTATATACTAAAATATTCTAATGTTAAAATGTTAAAATAAAAAATTAAGTATTGATTATTTACTTATATTTAAAAGAATTGTGTAAATAAAATAATAAAAAAATATTTAAAATTAAACTATGCTTCATCAATTGCAATTTGAATCTGTAATGGAATAACAGCCATTAGCGCCAAAGGGGAAGCCAAAGCATATTTCTCTTTAAATATAGTTTCGGCTCTCTTTAGCCAAACTCTCTGACATTGTGCACTGCCTCTGCCTTTGCCTCGCTCTCTCTTCAACCACCAGCACAACGCTGGGGCCAACAACTATGCGACAAACGGCATTCGTTTCAGCGCTCTTGCGGCGAACAGTGCAGTGAATCCCAGTGAGCCGAACAGACGAGAGCCGAAAGCCGAACAGTCAATAGCCGAAAGCCGAACGAATTGGAAAAGTTAAATTCATAAATTCGCGCCTCGCCGACAATGCGACAGAGGCGAGTTCGTGCAGTCAACTTTTGTGCGTAGACGCAGATCGGAACGTTATCGGCTGGAACTCTTCCCCTGGATTAACTGTGAACACAGAAAGTTTCTGGTGAAGTTCGTTTATCTGTGCCGGATTGAGTGAAGTGTGAACGGAGCCAGAAATCAAAATACTAAAATAACAAAAAATAAAGAAAGAAAGAAGAAGAGAATAAATAAATAACTACAAAGCAGAGTAATTACGCTTCTTTTGTGGAAAAGTGCTGAATATGTAGGCTGAAAATTGGGACATTGAACGGCAACGAAATCAACTTCAATAATTAATTACTCGGCAATAATTTGTGTGATTTTGTGGGAAATCACAAGAATAATAAACAAGCAACAGTCAAGACGAAGACGAAGACGTGTGACACAGTTTAAGAACGTTGCCAGAATATATTCCCCAATCTCCATTATCATATTACTTTCGAGTGTCGAGCAGTTAAGAGAGAACTACGAAAATGGTGTCGGGAACAGTCCAAAAAAATCAACTGCTGCTGCTGCTGGCAGTGTTACTGATCGCCCGATCTGCCCTGGGTAAGTTTTTGGTAGAGCCTACTATATACATACATATACGCTATATACATATATACATAATCCAAGTTTTAGTGCAGCGGAAATCTGTTGCAATTGTAAGCGCATAATCTAATCTCTGTGTGTGGAGACCCTTTGAACTGACTTGATCAGATTCAACTAAATACTAATGATTGTCTCTCTGTGTGTGTGTGTGTGAGTCTTTTGGAATTTATTGAACAATTTTTGACCTATATAAAGAGTATTCTACAAGTCAAATGCGCTGAACTTTGCGCGGCATTAAAAGATTGACGAAATACTTTGAGAACAATTTGCTGTGATTCACACTCGTGCCCGGAGGATTAGAGGGCGGTGCTTAAAATAGATTTATATGGATCCTGCTCTTGTGCAGAAGAAATTTGAATTTTCTATTTTTATATATTTCAATC